AGTCTCAACTGTTGTTAGTGTGTATGTTGGGGTCATACCGTAAGGTTGATGTTTGTCCAATTGCTGGGTTCTACAATGAAGAGGTGGGCCAGTCACCTGAATTTCTCCTGCAGAGCCTGTTGGGTGAGTCCTATATTTTTGTCAGCCTAGGAGTATTGATGGAAATCAACCCTTAGTTCCTGCTGTTATTATGTCTTCAGATTGTTCTGAGTCACCAGATCTCCCTGCTTATAGTGTTTGTCTTGGCTGGGACCCTACTCTGTCTCTGGGTGTATGGGAGGCCTTATTAGCATCACCCTTAACCGATCTGATGCTCTCTGTGTGATGTTCACACCTACTCTTGTCAAGCTTGCCAATGGCCTACTTCTGGAGGGACTTTGCTATTGCTCCTGTTTACTCACTGAAGGCGGCAAATTCTCTTGCTATCTTAGGGGCAAATTCACCTCACTGATGGAAGCCTGTTGAGTTCTTTTGTTTGGATGAGGTGTTACTGAGTCTTCCCTCCATATAGCATGGTTAATGCACTGCAGTCCAATGTTCTGGGGGGAGGAGTGTGAACAAAGATCAACAACAATAATAAGTCCAGGGAATATGGGGGGGTCCCCGATGGCAGTGATGGGACTGCGGGGGCAAACACTGCTGAATGGAGTTCCAGGGTACCAAGGTGGTTTGCTGGGACAGTGGGGCCATTGTAGGGGCCCAGGTCTTTCCCGGCCTTTTGTGTGCCGCTGGCTGGAATTTTGGGTTCTGACATGATCAGCCTGGAGAGTGCAGGTCACAGGAAGGGCCTCAGTCTGGTCCAGCCCTATGTGCACTGCTGTCTAGAGTTTCTTGGTTCTGATGTGATTGGCCTGGATAGTGCAGTGCATGGGGCAGGGCCAGGCCCATGTCTGACCTTCCCCTGTGCACTCTGTTGGCTGGAATTCCTGGGTCCCAGGAATATCCCAGATTTCTAGAAATACATGAACCACCAAAGCTCAACCAAGAAAATATTCCAATTTTGAATAACCCAATCTCAGCTATTGAAATAAAAAATGTAATTAAAAACTTACCAACAAATAAAATCCCAGATCCTGATGGATTCACAGCTGAATTCTACAAGAAATTTAGAGAAGATTTGATGCCAATATTTCTTAAACTCTTCAATGAAATTGAAAAGGAAGCCCTCCTCCCTAAATCATTCCTGGAGGCAAGTATTACTCTGAAACCTAAACCAGAGAAAGACTCAACTTTAAAAGACTCAACTGTAAAAGGACAAACTATAGGCCATTCTCACTTGTGAACATTGATGCAAAGATTCTCAATAAAATAGAGATGCAAATAGAATGCAACAAATCATCAAGAAGATTATACATTATGACCAACTGTGATTCATTTCTGGAATGCAGGGATGGCTTAGCATATGCAAATCAATAAATGTAAAATACCACATCAACAGAGCCAAAAGCAAAAAACACATGATCATCTCAATAAATGCAGAAAAAGCTTTCAATAAATTCCAATACTTGTTCATGACAAAAACCCTTCAGAAACTTGAAATACACAGTCTGTCTCAATCTCACAGAAGCTATCTGTGACAAACCAACAGCCAACATATAGTAAAATGACAAAAACTGAAAGCTTTCACTCTAAAATCAGGAACAAGATGAGGGTGTCCACTATCACCACTCCTATTCAACGTAGTTCTGGAAATGTTAGCCAGGACAACCAGACAAGAGAGAAATAAAAGGAATAATGATAGGAAAGGAAGATGTTAAATTATCACTATTTGCAGATGACATGATACTCTCTATAGAAGACCCAAAAAACTCCATTAGAAGACTACTAGAGGTAATAAACAAATTCAGCAGTGTAGCTGGATACAAAGTCAATGGTCAAAAATCAATAGCATTCTTATACACAAAAAACTCACTCGGAGAGAAAATATGGCAATATTGCCTTTCACAATAGAAGCTAAAAAATGAAATACTTAGGAATCAACCTAACTAAGAAGGTAAAAGACCTATATGCTGAAAATTATGCTATGCTAAAAAAAAGGAGGTTGAAGAGAATATTAGAAAATGAAAGGATATTCCTTGCTCTTGGCTAGAAAGAACCAACATTGTGAAAATGGCCATGCTCCCAAAACCATTATACAGATTTAATACAATCCCAATCAAAATACTATTATCATACTCACAGATCTAGAGAAAACACTCCTAAAATTCATTTGGAAACAGAAGAAACCTAGAATAGCAAAGGAAATTCTGGACAACAAAGGCAAGGCAGGAGGCATCTCAATTCCTGATTTAAAACTACTACAAAGCTACAGTGATAAAATCAGCATGGTACTGGCAAAGAAATAAACCTGAGGATCAATGGAACAGATTAGAAAATGAAAACACAACTACAGAGACACTCAGCCACCTGATATTTGACAAAGGCACTAAACATGTTCACTGGAAGAAGGATAGCCTCTTCAATAAGTGGTGTTAAAAAATTGGCTCTCTACATGCTGAAGGCTGAAACTAGACCCATGCCTATCATCACGCACTAAACTAAAGTCAAAGTGAGTGAAAGACCTAAATATTAATACATAAACACTAAAATATTAATACATAAACATCATAAACACTGGAAGACAAGCTAGGTAGAAATCTTGGAGACATAGTGGTAGGCAAAGAATTCGGGAACAAAACGCAAACTGCACAGGAAACACTTCAAAGAATTAGCAACTAGGAGCTCATATTATTGAAAAGTTTTGTATTTCAAAAGAAATCACCTACAGAGTGAAAAGAAAACCCAAAGAATGGGAAAGAATTTTAACCAGCAATCCCTCAAACAAAGGACTTATGTTCCGAATATATAAAGAATTTAAAAATATCAAGCCCCCCAATCTTAAAGACTCTCTCCAAAAATGCACATCTGCGATAAACACCCATTTCCCAGATGAGGATATACAAATTGCAAATAAATACATGAAGAAATGCCCACCATCACTGGTCTTTCAAGAAATGTAAATTAAGACAGCATTGAGATTTCATTTCATTCCAGAAAGAATAGCTGCCTTCAAGAAATCAACTGATAACAAATGTTGGTGAGGCTGCTGGGAAAAAGAAACACTTATCTTCTGTTGGTAGAAGTGTAGACTGGTAGAGCCACTATTATGGAAATCATTAAGGATATTCCTCAGAAAACTAGGATTGGAAGTTCTATTCAATCCAGCTATTCCCCTCCTGGGTATTTGCCCAGAAAAACTGAATAGGTGATGTCACAGTGATATATGTAAACCCTTGTTCATAGCAGCACAATTTGTAATAGCTAAATGTTGGAAAAAACTAAAATGTCCATCAACCACAGAGTAGATGAAAAAGATGTGGCATTTTTATATAATGGAATATTATTTAGCTATAAAAAGGATGATCTTGAGGCTATCCTAGGTAAATGGAGACAACTGGAGACTATCCTCATAAGTGAAATAAATATGAATCGTATTTTAAAATATAACATTGTGTCTCTAGTGTAAAAAGTAATTAAAAACTGTAGGAGTAATAAGATCCAAAATGTGTAATCACTATGGTAAAAAAGAAAGGGAAAGAAAGTGCTCTAAATGATGTAACTGTGTATGTTTAAGTGTGTAAGATAGATGACCATATTACTAAGTTTTTGTTGGATCATTGAACAGAACTATCTGCACTCTCACTTTTTGAATGTCTACTTTTTATGCTTTAATTATGTAACTTGAACAACTATTTCTAAGATGACAATATGTAATTTATCAACTAGTGATTTCTTAGTGTTTATTTTTATTTTTTGAAATTCTGTATTTCTATCCTTTTCTATTTTGCTTTTTTCTCTTTAAATAAAATTTTAAAAAATTTATGAGTATAAGTAAAAAAGTCTTACCAGAAACCTCAAATTTTATTTCCATAAATATTTCATATCATGTATATCAAATAATACTTTTATAGGAATAATTAGAATACTATTCATTTGTGGAGTTCAAAATAGGGATAATTTAAGTGTCCAATTCATTTGACTACAACCACATGATACTTTCCTAATAGCAAAAAGATAAGGAAACTGGTGTATAAGAAGCTAAATATTTATATTGCACTCCCAATTAGAAGCATTTTTAAAGAGAGAATAGAGTCCCTTTTTGTTAAATCTGTTTCTAAAGTAGTGATAGGTTTCTTCTATCCATACCTTATTTTTAATAAAAATATCTTATTGGTGTAATCTATGATGGAATAAGCTTTTCTTGGGGAGTTTTGTGTTTTTACTGTACTGTTAGACTTACATTTATCTTCTTAAGCAGTTTGAATGTTAAATATTCTCAGTAGAGTGCTTTGGATTGACAAACTGACATGCATTTTGGGCAGACTGAAGGAGCTGAAGGGATGTGAGGAAAGTGCTAGTTAAATCTGTTTTACTCAACCTTGAAGAAATGCTAAGCATTAATTCTGAGCTTCAAACGAAGTACACAATGTGCATGTATATGCAATGTTCCTGAGAGATTCCTGATGAACGGAAAAACAAATAATCTGTGATGGGAAGAAATACATTTCATCAACCCCCCGAGCAGCAGTGATTTGTCTCAGCTTGTCAGTCATACTTGATTCTGATTAAAATAAGGCAAATGTAATAGTTTAGCCTTTCCTGAGAAAGAAATTACATTTGTCTTCAACAGAGCTTTAAATTGCACATCATATGGATTTTTTCCCTTGCTAAATGGACATGTATTGAGCATCAGAATCTGACTGAGTGACTAGACCAGGACCCTAGGCCGTATGGTAAGCAACCATGAGATGAGCTCCTCAAGCCTGAGGGTTCTTTGGGAGGTGGGTGGGTAAAGCTGCGAGGACAGCTGCCACATACAAAGGATCTGCTAGGAGACACACAAGACGGTGCCAGAATGTGGTGCATCTCACAGGTACTTTTATTCATGCCGCAGAGTAAACACTACTTATCTAGGTGGACGGTGACTTTCTGTGTTCCTGTCTAACACAGCTTGCTGAAATTTACAGGCAGTGATGTTTCATCTCACGTGCACTCAAGACAGCTGGTAAATGATGACCATGAGCAGGTGCAGGACTAGAACCTTTTAAGGCTTTACTTCTTTTATCAGCACTTCTGGTTTTATAAACAATGAAGCTCATCAACCCCATTCCTACCCAAATCTCCTGGTAAATTTGGACATAGTATGGCTTCTTGAGGACCCAGACATTTTTAATTAAGCTTGGAAGCATCTTGGCAGGATCAACCTCCTGGGCCGCGTCAGACCTAGCTACTCATGAAGATCACCTACTGTGCAGGAGCCTCCATCATATGGATTTTGTATGCTTATTCTTGACTTGCTAGCTAGCAAAGACTGTCAATCAATGAATTTGAGGAGTGTATTTCAATGGTTGTGACTGGATAAAGAATTAATTGTGTTTGAATGATTCAAACGACATGGCACCAATATTGGATGTGAGATGCTTGGCTAAAAAAGTTTTCTAATCCTGTGTTTAAAAAAATGCCTCTTCAAATTGCTCCACACCCTTGTAACATTTCAGATAGTTAAGACAATTCATGATGGTGCTGCTGTTCAGTTAACATACTACGCTGTTGGGGAAATACAAAAGGAAGGTAGAGACTTCTAATTTCATATTACTATGCAGATGAAGGGCAATAATATGTTTGAGCGGTGGTGTATATATTTTTGATCAAACTTTTGCATAATTAAAATTGAGATGGTTGTACATTTAGCAAGATGTTTTATGCTTCACAGAAAAAATTCAACATATAATCTATGATGTTCACAAGACTTTGAGAAGCATGATCACCTTCACTTTATTGATAAAGTTAAATAATTTTGAGTTTAAATAATTTTGAAACAACTACAAGTGGAAATCTAGAACTACTCTATCACTTTGCTGCCTGAATTTTTTCTATGTGTCATAGTGGACTCATCTTAACTGAGAGCTTTTTGTAGTGATGAAATATTGACAATGATGTCTGCGCTGGTTGTTGCAACTTGTTACACAATGTGTCTTTACCTTTTCGTGCTAATGGGTCAACACATCATGTATTTCAAACTCTGTATCATAAAATATAATAGAACAATTGTATACAACAATTTTATTTTATTTAATATTTTGATACCGAGGATTGAACTCACTACCTTGCAATTGCCAGACAGGCACTTACATGACTTAGCTAAACCCCCAGCTCCACCTTATATATTTTAATATGTTAACAAGTGTCTTCTCTGATGCCATCCTAATGTTATGGCTGTTTCATGTGTGAGATCAAGTAATTCCTAGCCCTTTGCTTAATTCTAGTTATGAATCCACTGATTTCTGATTATTGAACTTTGGTACATTGAAGATGTTGCCAAAGAACGCAAATTATTGGCCATTCATTTTTATCTGAAGAAGCCAACATATTTTCTTATTAGCATAATAATATACTTTTGTCTATTGAGTGTATGTACCCTACTTTTCTGGAGAGCTAGGAGAAATTCCTCATTATTTTAAAATGACTTGTAATATATTTATGGGTTATTTAAATAACTTACCTTCCATATAATCGTCATATCACTCCATCCTAACTAAATGTTCATTCAATTAATAGGTTAGTCTTTAGAATATCTCATATTATGAAGATATACATATATTTATATGTATATATATATATACATATATATATAATTTTTTTCTAAGTACATTTTGTAATGTTGTGTTACCAGTGACACTGTCAGATGGAATTTGTTCTTTGGAACTAGAAAAAGATAAATTTCAAATTTATACATAAAAATAGCAGGCAAGTTATGAAAAAAATTGGTGTTATATAGTCAGAGAAAGACTTTTACTAAATATTGAAGTGTGTTTTAAAACTGTGTACTATTCAGCCTTCAAATATATTTGATCTAGTATATCTCATTCAGTACAACAGAATAGCATCTAGGAACAGGTCCAGATGATGGGAAGATGACATTTCAGTTCAACAGGGAAATAATGGCTCATTCAATAACTGATGTTGGGATAACAAAGGCCCTTCTGCAAAATAGAGACGGATGTCTGTCCTGGCAATAGAAACTTTTCCTGTTTACTTGTACTACTTTATCTTACTTTGTTTTTTTGATGTTTATGTTTTAGTATTGTAATAGAAATAACTTATTTTTGAGAAAGAAAATGACTTCATATTTTGATTTTTTTGTTGTGTGAATAGCAGTTTGCATGAAGAATGAGCAATTTGATGCTGTTATGTTTCCTATTGTACTCTGTAAATCTTGACTTTGTATTTTTAAATATGGACTTTTAGATTGCTGAAGATCACAAAATGCACTGCTTAAAAAATGTAAACTACACAAAGTACTTTCAGCAGGTAGTTTTAATGCCGCAATGTTCTTATCCTGCTTGTTACTGACAGCTCTTGATTGTACTTTAAGCCTCTGATTTTATAAAACTTGTCTTTCCCTGTGAAGCAGTGCCTGTGAGTTTCATTACAGAAAAAGATGATTTCTGCTTACCGTTTGATCTGTGTATTCCTTATCTGAACTTTTTACTGTATGGCTGGCATGTGCAACTTCTGTCTCATTAAAATCTAGGCTTAGGATAAGGAAGTTAGGTCACTGGGGGCGTATTCCTGGATGAGATCAGGGACCCCAGCCTTTTCTTATACATATTTCATTCCCAGCTTCCAATATGAACCTTTTCCAAAGCATCAGGGACACCCAACCATGCACTAAAGCATCTGAAACCTGAACTAAAAATACTCCCAACTTTATCATTTCAGGTATTCTGTCATGGAAAGCTGATTAACACAATCCCCGATCCTGGAAGTGACTATCTTAAGAATCACCTCCTTTCCACTACTCCAAGTCAAAGAACACTTGTACAGGTGGTAACATTAGCACAAGAGCAACATATATTGACTAGCTTTCCAATGACTAACTGATATTTTCTTATAACAGAATAGTCATAAGTAGGTTTGAGATAATGTAAGGTCAACTGACACAAGTTATTATAAGCTGCATATGAATCTATCTGCCATAGAAAAGCATATTTTTCATCCATAACTAAGTTGGTCTAAGCCTTCCTTAACCAATATAATCTCTGTTAGTTGTTGTTCTAGAATTTCAAAAGAATTTTTCTTATTTACATCATTTTCTGGTAGTTCCACAGGCTGGAAACCAAGCTTCTAAATAAAGCAAAGACTAGCATCCTGTACCATGTGGAAAATGAAAAATTGAGCATACAGAAAGGTCAGTGTTTCCAGATGTCTTCTAAATGTTAATTTCACATACTGATTGTTTGAACATTGTAAAACCTTGTCAACCATGTAAGCACTTTTTTCTTCTTGAGGATAGCATGTTATGATAGGGCACAGAAGCTAGATGGAAGAGAGCCATGAACTTTCTTTGAAATGTGGTGCTTGCCATCAGTGAAATGAATCTTAATGGTAGTGATTTCTAGTATGGGGAAGGAAAATATTTAACCTCTTTCACTGATGTGAATTAGACTGGAGAGGAAAAGGGTGTATTTTGAAGAAACTAATTCTTGCCTACTCCATGCTTTCTATGATTTCTTTATAAATCTTGTCTTACTACCATTTACGTTAATACAGTGTAGGGAGAATGATGAGTATGGAATAGAATATTGTCTCTGTGATCATATTATAGGTTGTACAAGATTTTAAAGTTGAGAGGAGGGCTGGGGATATACCACAGTAGCACAGCACCTGTGTGGCAAAGCACAAGGTTGTGAGTCCGATTTCCAGTACCAATAAGTAAACAAATGAATAAATAAGAATGTATGAAAAATAAGTGATAACTTAAGTAGATGGAAAAAAACTAAAATAGATAAGTTTTCCTCATGGATGATCTAAAAAATGTACTGGTCTTATAAACAATAATGGATAATAATGGGTTATGGAACATGGGTTGCATTTATCATTAATGTATGGAACTCAACAAAGTAGTGTGATTTCTGCTATGTGTGACAAGTCCCACTAAGAAGACTATCCAAGGAATTTGACATTACTGTGATTGTCTAGATGAAGATTTTTAGAATTATCCTGTGGTACCATTTAATTTTTTTGGATTTTTTTTCTTGTTTATATTTACCTGATTAATCATTAAACTATTTTGTCAAGCTACTTTCCATTTTAAAATTAGGAATATACTAATGAAAACTAAACAGTATGCTTGACTGTAGTTTAGTAGTTTAACGTTCTTATCCTACAATAAAACCATAATATGCAGATACTGTGGAATTGCCTCAGGGAAAAGTTTGCAATACTAAGAGATTTCTTGTGCTCATTTGGATTTATTCATGGTGTAAAATATAATCACTGTGAAGTGTGAGACAATTCACTAAATAATTTCATCTTGCTGTGAGATTCCTCACCAGACCAGTTCACCTGAATCTTGGCTGATGCTATTGAGTGACATTTGAGCAGGGGAATAGAACAAAACCCTTTATATATGTTCATGGATCATAAAGCCTTCTCTCTGGAGAACATGATAATTTGGAAAACTAAAACTTTATATATATAAAGAAATGACAATATTTTTCAGTGACACAACTTAGAATAAGAATTATTTTTAAAGTCTCCATAATTTAAACTTCTAAATATTCATGTTAATGGGTTAGACATTATCACACAGGAAACTTTCATTTATATAGTTCTTGCTTTCCAGTGCATCTATTTGGAGCACTTTGTGGTAACTGACACACATTCTTACAGCACAATGAGGAATGATGTTCATAGAGTGTCTCAGTTACCATGCAATTTTTGTACATCATCAAAGAACATGTAACTGTATTCATAATAATGTAAAATATGCTTTATAATATTGATGCTTCATTTTGAAATTATAAATACTTAACTGAAATTCTCTACTGTATCTGTACTGTCAGCTGTATCATGTGCTGAAATTCATACTGATTTGAATTAAATATATTATTTTTAGTGTGAAGTAAATTTAATCTTTCTTTTTTGCTTTTAAAACAAACACAAGCCATTTCACTTTAAATAAAGAGTGGTTAGTAATCTAGCCTAAGTTTATTATATATGGGAAATATAAAACTAAAAGTAGTTATATTGTATGATTCTAGGTGTGTTATTTATATAACTAAAAGGAATATGTGTATCAAGTTATATGGTATATTTTGCCCCAGTTAATGAATCTCTATAAACCTCTTTTAGTTATTTCACAAATAAGGTAGGTAAACATAAAATTGTAAACCATTAACATTGA